CTCCTCCTCCTTCCTCCTCCTCCCCTCCTACTCTCACTCTCCTCCCCTCTCATCCTCACATGTTCACGTCCTCATCCTCCTCATCATCCCCCTCTCCTCCTCTCCTCCTCCTTCCTCCTCTCCTCTCAACATCATCATCATCATCATCATCATCATCATCATCATCATCATCATCATCATCATCTCATCATCATCATCATCATCATCATCACATCATCATCAGCATCATCATCATCATCATCATCATCATCATCATCATCATCATCATCATCATCATCATCATCATCATCATCATCATCATCATCATCATCATCATCATCATCATCATCATCAGCATCAGCATCAGCATCGGCATCATCATCATCATCATCATCATCATCATCATCATCATCATCATCATCATCATCATCATCATCATCATCATCATCATCCTCGTCCTGGTCCTCATCCTCCCCCTTCTCCGTGTTCCGTCATCCTCCTTTGCGTCATCCTCCTCATCCTCCTCACCTCCCTCCTCCTGCTCCTCCTCCACCACCTCTTCCTCCTGCGCCTCCTCCTCCTGCTCATCCTCCATTCCGGTTCCTTATAAATAACGTCTCCCTGTCGCACCCCGAGGCCAGTTGTTAGGGCGGACTGGGCGTTTCGCCTGAGACTTCCGCACCACGTAAAAAACTGAAGCTTAGACATTGGCAAGAGTTTCGCAGATGAGGGCGGGTGGTTTTCAAAATGTGGCTCTCGCCTTAGCGCCGCGTGCGTTTTACGGATTGAGGGCGAGTGGCTTTCCAAATGTGGCTCTCGCATTAGCGCCGCGCACAATCGCTCTAAACATGTGTAAGAGTGTCACTGATTGAGGGCGAGTCGTTTTCAACATTTGGCTCTCGCCTTGGCGCCGCGCACATTCGTTCAACAAATTGCAAGGAGCTTCGCGGATTGAGAACAGTTCCTTCTCAAAACGTGGCTCTCGCTTTGGCGCCGCGCACATTCGTTACAAAAAGTGCAAGAGCTTCACGGATTGAGGCGGAATGTGGCTCACGCCTTAGCGCCGAGCACATTCGTTTTCCAAACGTTACAAGGGTTTCACGGTTCCCCATGACCAACGCACCAGAAATGGCATGTTGGAAGGATTCAGGATCATGCAGGTCAACAGTTACGTTGATTCGCGGTGTTGACGTCCCAAAAACGGCGTTCTGGCACGATTCTGGCTCGTCAAGACGCAACAGTCAGGATGATCAGTGGCGTTGGAATCCCGAGAAGAATGTTTACGCATGCTTCGGGGTCTTCAAACGGTTGTCTTCCAACGAGGCAAATCCCCCAATGGAAATGAACCGCTATAGGCGCCTATGAAGAGGGAACTCGGAGGGAGGGTGTATTCCAACATCGTTGATGATTCTTGGTTCTACACTGGTCCTCCTCCTCCTCCTCCTCCTCCTCCTCCTCCTCCTCCTCCTCCTCCTCCTCCTCCTCCTCCTCCTCCTCCTCCTCCTCCTCTTCCTCCGTCATCTCCCCACCTCTGTTCCCTCCTGCCCGCCGTCCTCCTGCAGGCCCTTCGTCGATCCTCCCCCCCCACGCCGAGGCCATCCCTCCCGCCCGCATCCCCGTCGCGGCGGGTCGGCTCCAGCGATCTCGGCTCTTTGCCGGGATCGCGGGCAAGAAGAAGACGACCTCACAGGCACGCGCTGGAGCTGGGGTGGGAAGCGGACGGGCTGGAGGAGGACAGGAGGCCCCTGGGCATCGTCCTCCTCATCATCGCCATCATCAACGTCATCGTCACAACAATAACCACCGTCATCATCATCAACCGCATCGGCATCATAATCATAATCATAATCATCAGCATCACCATCATCATCATCATCATCATCATCATCATCATCAGCATCATCATCATCATCATCATCATCATCATCATCATCATCATCAGCATCATCATCATCATCATCATCAGCATCATCATCATCAGCATCATCATCACCACCATCACCGACACTACCATCGTCGTCGTCAGCATCATGATCATCAGCATCATCATCAGCATCATCGTCATCATCAGCAGCAGCATCACCATCGGCATCATCATCACCATCCACATCATCATCCTTTATCAGCATCATGATCACCATCATCATCATAGCATCATCACCGTCATCATCGTCGTCATCATCAGCATCACCATCATCATCAACATCAGCAGCATCATCAGCATCCTCATCAGCAGCAGCATCATCAGCATCAGCATCGCCATCATCATCATAATAAGAATAACCATCATCCGCATCATAATCATCAACCTCGTCGTCATCATCATCATCATCATCATCATCATCATCATCATCATCATCATCATCATCATTATCATCATCATCATCATCATCATCATCATCAGTAGCGGCCATCATCATCACCACCATCATCATCATCAGCATCATCATCAGCAGCAGCATCTTCATCATCATCGTCAGCAGCATCATCAGTAGCATCATCAGCATCAGCATCATCATCATCGTCGTCATCATCATCATCGTCATCATCATCATCAGTAGTAGTATCATCATCATCAACATCATCATCCGCATCTGCATCAGCATGACCATCATCAGCGTGATCAGTCGCATCGTCATCATCATCAGCATCATCATCCGCATCGTCATCAGAATCATCGTCATACGAATCATCGTCATCATCATCACCGCCATCAGCATCATCACCATCATCTATTTCATCTAATTCATCGTCATCGTCATCAGCATCGTCATCATCAGAATCAACAGCATCATCCGCATCAGAAGCTTTAGCATCATCATCATCATCATCAGCATCACAATCATCAGCATCAGCAGCATCATCATCATCATCGTCATCATTTTCAGCGCCCCCACCATAATCATCGCCAGCACCAGCATCCTCAGCATCATCAGCATCGTTGGCATCAGCATCATCATCACCATCTCCAGCGTCAGCATCATCACCACCATCACCACAACCACGATCATCACCATCACCATCTAGAACGTCAGCAACATCATCATCACCACCACCACCATCATCATCATCACCATCGTCATCGTCATAATCAGCAGCATCATCATCAGCATCACCATCAGCATCATCATCAGCAGCAGCATCAGCATACTCATCCTCTTCTCCATCCTCATCCTCATCACCATCGGCAACATCGTCATCCTAACCGTTAGCATCATCATCATCGCCCCCACCATCATCATCCTCATCGTCATCCTCACCTTCGCCATCACTATCATCAGCATCATCGTCAGTATCATTGGCAACATCAACATCATAAGCATAATCAACATCCTCATGATCAGCATCACCGTAATCACCAGCGCCATCATCAGAACACTCCTCGACATCACAACGTCACTATCGTCATCACCATCACAAGCAGATCCTCATCAGCAGCATCATCATCAGCATCATCCTCATCCTCATCATCATCGTCATCATCAGCATCATCACCATCAACATCACCAACACCACCACCATCATCATCAGCATCATCATCATAATCATAATCATCATAATCATCATCATCATCATCAGCATCATCATCAGCATCATCATCATCATCGTCATCGTCGTCATCGTCGTCGTCGGCCACCTCCTCCACCTCCACACCCTCCTCAGCCTCCCCCTCTGATCATCATCGGCAACATCAGCATCAGCAACAGTATCGTGCAGATCCTTGTACTCATCCTCCCCCCACCCATGCCCCGTCCTCGTCCCACCCTTTTCGCCCTCATTCTCATATCATCCCTCCTCTTCTTCATCTCTTCACCCAACTGCTCTCTCATTTTTCGGCCTTGCTTCCGCCCATCCTCCCTACCCCGTCATCCCCCCTCCGTTCCCCATCCTGTCCCGCAGCAAAGCTGGGGAGCCCTCGGAGCACAAGGCTTGGCTTGGACACCCCACCGCCCGCGGAGCAGGCGGAGAGGCGGCTGCCCGGGGTGCCTGCACCCCCCGGGGTGGAAATCCCTGAGGATCGGCGACTATAGCGGGTGCGGTTTGCGAAGGGTGCGGTTTGCCTTCCGTCATATCTGCCCCTCCCGCCTCCGGGAAATGGATGACACTGTCACTCAATGCGACCGAATCACATGACACTGTCGCTACTTCTAGTAAAATGGAGCACACATCGAGGATGACAGTGTCGCTCGAAACGACGACAATTATGACATTGTCTTCTCTCACAAAGGCTCCGGAAAGGCCGCCACAAAGCAACTCGCAAACCGCACCCTGGCGTAACCGCACCGATTGTTGTCGCCGAGAGGAGGGGGCCCACTACCTTCTTTGGAAATGGCCGAACGTACCTGCAGGACGACGTACCCCAAGTGAGGTGTCAAAGCGGCCACGGTTCCAGCCACGGTGGGCGCCAAGACGCAGCCGCTGGGCACCCCGAGGCGGGCCCCGAGGCCCCCTCTCCGGGGTTATGTTGGGCCTCCCCTCCCTGCCTTGTGATGGGGTGGCGGTGGGCGTCCAGGGAGCTGCCCCCCTGGAGCGCTCCTTCCTCGGGGGCGCGCAAACATGGATTGGCGATCCATGGATTTGGCGCGCGGTCGCCAAATCCGTGGATCGGGGGAGGTGCCCTCCCCAAAATGCGGCCGGGTGCGGCCTCGCTCGACGGCGGAAATTCGCGATTTCCCATGGGAACGGGGCCCGTTGCCAATCCACGCCCCCTTGATCCACGTTTGCGATCGCCTGGCTTGAGCCCTGAGGCCGGAATTCCCGCGCACGCGCGCTTCGCGGGCGGCTCGCGGGGGGGAAAAGGGACGGCCGGGGCCGCTTTGGCTGCGCCATATAGCGCCTGGCGCCGGCTCCTCTTTTCCTACCCGGCGTCGGCGCCGACGTGCCCGCAACGGCCCGCTTCGAAGGAGTCGTCGATGTGCCCCTCCTCCCTCTCCTCCCCTCCCCCTCCAGCCGCTCCCTCCGGCTCCTCCCTCCTCCCCCCATCCTCCCCACTCCCGCGCGCGCGGTGCTCCGTCCTGCTGCTGGTGCTCCTGGTGCTCCCACTCGTCTCTGGAGGAAGGAAACAATATATATATATATATATATATATATATAACAAAAAACAAAAACAACAAAAAAACTGTCAGAGGTCCGCTCTGATCTGAGAGATCGTCCTCCTACGCCGACGCCGACGACAACGACCGCGGAGATGACGACGACGACGACGACGACGCCGCCGCCCTCGGCGGCGGCGGAGACGAAGAAGACGACGACGACGACGACGACGACGACGACGACGACGACGACGCCGCCCGCGGCGGCGACGACGGCGGCGGCGGCGAAGGCGGCGGCGCCGACCGGCGCCGCAGCGCGGGGGCGCGAGAGCAGCACGCCTCGGCGTGGACGCCGGCGGGCCCCGAGATGGCCGTGCCCTTCTCGAGGGGGCCGCCGCGGGCGACGCGGTCGACGCGGAAGAAGACGGCCTCGCGAGCACCGACGGCGAGGCCCCCCGACGGCGGGGAGCCCCGACGGTGCCTCGCCGCCGACGACGACGACGACGACGACGACGACGAAGACGACGACGACGACGACGACGACGACGACGCGGACGGCGGCGGCGGCGGCGGCTGCTGCGGTGGCGGCGCTGAAGGGGCGGAAGGTCGCTGCGGTCAGTGCTCGTCCCCGCTTTTCCGCCTCTGGCTCTCCTCCTCTTCCACCTCCGCCTCCCCCTCCTGAGCACTGCGCTCCTCGGTCTTCCTCCCCCCCACGATTGCAGGCAACTCTTGGGGATATTCGCCAGAACGATCACACAGGCTGGGCAGCCCGACTAAGGGGCCATTGCGCCTGACAAGGCCAGATCAAGCCCAGGACATTGAGCTGGATTCAGCGGGATGGAGCCAGGTCAACTGAGATCTAGCCGGATTGAGCAGGAAAAAACCTTGGCAGGCGGGAGCAAGCCAGATTCGGCCAGGCTTCAACCAGGGAAAACCCAGTGCCGACTCTGCATTTCACCTCCCGGGAGCTGCTGCACCCTACCCAACCTACAGCAGCGCCCTGCCCCTCGCGGACAGCGGGCGCGGACTGCCCACGCACACGCGGCCTCCTGCAACACCCGGATCACCTCGTCCAGGGCCTGCCGAAGCCGCTCCCCAGGGGGGCCGCCGTCTCTCGTCAACGTCATCACTCGCCCTCGTCGCTGCCGTCATCGTCACTCGTCGTTCGTTCGTCCGCCGTTGGTCCGTCGTTCGTCCATCGCTCGTCCGTCGTCGTCACACGCCGTCGTCGTCACTCGCCGTCGTCGTCACTCGCCGTCGTCGTCTCTCGGCGTCGTCGTCGCTCGTTGCCCTCGTCACTCGTCGTCGCTCGTCGTCTTCGCCCGTCGTCGCTCGTCGTCGACGCCCCTCGTCGTCACCGCCCTGGGAGGGCGAAGGAGGAGGGCGGAGGCGGAGGGTGGAGGGCGGAGGGCGGAGGGCGGAGGGCGGAGGGGGTTGAGGGGAGGCGAGGGGGGGGGGGTAGGGAAGGAAAGGGGGGCAACAAGGCGGCGCCGATGTCGCTACTCCCGCACCTCTCCTGGGGCGCACTCTGGCCAGAACCTCCACGGGAGCCCCGCCGTGGGCTCTCCGGGACGAGGACCAGCAGCCTCCTCTGGGTGCACGGGGCGGAGGAGGCCGGTCGGCGGCCGCCTCCGCCGCCGGGGGGGGGCGGGAGAGGCCCCGGCCGCCCCCGGGACAGGGCGGGGCGCGGCCGCCCCGGCGTGGCCCGGAAGGGACTGCGGGAGCGAGGCCCAGACCTCCGACGTCGCGAGAAACTCACGACGAAGGCTTTTGACAATTTTCGGCCTCTGGAGGCCCTCGCCGTGCCTCGGGAGCGTCAGAAGGACTCGGGAGGAACAACGGGTCCCAGGGAAGGTCTCTAGACCTCGTGGGGCCGACGCCGCGAGTTTCTCACGACGTCGGGGGTCTGGGGAGGGAGAGAGAGAGAGAGAGAGAGCTGTGCACGCGCACCGGCCTTGGGCCCACGATCGGCTCGGCGACGAGCAAGGGGGGGAAGCGAGCAGGGAACGGCCTGCTCGGGAGGCTCGGAAGTCCCCCGGCCGTCCGAGAAGCTTCCTGAGCCTTCCCCGAGGACGCGAAAAACAAACTCTCAGAACGCCAAGGAGTGCCGCCTCCTCCTCCTCCTCCTCCTCCTCCTCCTCCTCCTCCTCCTCCTCCTCTTCTCCTCCTCCTCCTCTCCTCCTCCTGCTCCTCCTCCTCCTCCTCTCCTCCCCCTCCTCCTCTCTCTCCTCCTCCCTCCTCCTCATCCTCCTCTCTCTCCTTCCTCCAAGAAGGCCTTCTCCTTCTCGCTTATCCCCCCCCTCGCTCGCTGGCGACCGACGCACGCGCCCCCCCCCCCCCCCCGGCTTGGCCACGGAGGGCGTGCCGGCCCGGGGTTATGATGTCCCAACCTGCCGTGGCCTGGATCACCAGAAAGAGCTTCGAGCAACTCCAAGAGCGCCTGGGAGAGCCCGCAATGACCTCCAAGATGGCTCAAGATATCCCAAGATGTCTCATAATGGCTTCCTCTGTGTGCTGCCCACTTCCCTGATCGAAGAAGTTCCTCTGGGCATCGTTTCTGGATGGGCTGGTGGGGACTCGCGAGGCGTCAACGGTTTCGAGCACCGAGGAAGTACCGAAACTGGCGGGTTTTCGCGAGTCGGGCCCTGGGAGGCGATACTCGCTCGACACTGTCTCTGCATTTCCCGGGGCGCTCGAAACTGCGTCTGGGATGTGGCCCCTCAGTACGATGGGGGCAGCAGAAGCCCTGGGCCCAGGAGGGGCCCGGCACCACACGTGGCTTCCCCACGGCAGCCCCCCTGCACGCCGCGGCCCCCTCCGGCCTGCGAGGCCCCCGCGTCCGAGCGGCGGCTAAAGATCTTCTCGTGGAGCTCCTGCCGCGGGGGGGGGAGGGAGGGCCGGGCAGGCAGGGCAGGGGGGGGGGGGCAAGAGGGGGGGGGAAATGGAAGGAAGCCTCAGCAGGAGGAGAAGAGCAGGGAGGATGGGTACGTCAGTGAGGAGGATCGGCACGAGGAACACGCGACGAGACAATGACCGGGAGCGAGAAAACAGAGGCTGGCGCGCAAAGGACACGAGAAGGAATTCGAACCATGCGATGGTCATTGATACGTGGTGAGGATGGAAACAGGAAGGATGAAGCCTGATACTCGCCCCCATCCTCCTCCCCCTCCTCCTCCTCTCCCGCCTCCTCCTCCTCCTCCTCCTCCTCCTCCTCCCTCCTCCTCTCCTCCTCCTCTTCCTGCTCCTGCTCCTCCTCCTCCTCCTCCTCCTCCTCCTCCTCCTCCCTCCTCCTCCTCCTCCTCCCCTCCTCCTCCCCTCCTCCCCTCCTTCCCTCCTTCCTCCCCTCCTTCCCTCCTCCTCCTCCCCTCCTTCCCTTCGTCATCCTCATCATCCCCCCCCTGTCTCTCCCCCTCGCCCTTCATTCCCTCTCCTCATGAATGACTCCTCCGTGTCTCGCCCAAACGCTGGTCGAAAGGGCGTGCCGGGCGTTTCGCCTGAGACCTCGTCTCCACTCATGATCCTGAAGCTCGAAGTGTAGCGACATTTTCACAGACGAAGGGCGGGTGGTTTTCGAAAAGTGGCTCTCGCCTTCGCGCTGCGCACATTCGTCGTAAAAAGTCCACGATGCTCACTCTTTGAAGGCGGGTGGTTTCCAACATGGTTCTCGCCTCAGCGCCGCGCACACTCGTATCAACAAATGGCAAGAGCTTCACTGATGGAAGGCGGCACCTTTTTAAAATGTGGTTCTCGCTTTAGCGCCGCGCACATTCGTGTGTTGATTGCAAAAGTTTCACGAAACCCGTGGTGAACGCACCAGAAACTGCGATCTGGAATAATGCAGGAGGGTCAAGGCGCAACAATTCTGTTGAAATCCCAGGAGTGGTGTTCCGGCACGATTCAGGATCGTCACGACGCAATAGTCAGGTTGTTCCCAGAATGCTTTTTCAGCACAATTCAGGATCTCCAGCGGGGGTGGCTGTCTCCCAACGGGGCAGTTCCCTCAGTGGACACGAATCCTTGTAGGGACCGATGAAGAGGGAGCTTGGAGGGAGCATTCATTCCAAAATCGCTGATGAGTCTTAGGTTTACACTGGTCCGCGTCCTCGTCCTCGTCCTCCTCCTCCTCCTCCTGCTCCTCCTCCTCCTCCTCCTCCTCCTCCTCCTCCTCCTCCTCCTCCTTCGCCTCCGTTCCTCCCTCCCTCCGTCCCTTCCTCCCTCCCCCCCTCCCCTCCCTCATCCCTCGCCCCCCGCCCGCCCTCCCGCTCCCCACCCGCTGGTCCCTCACATCCTCCCTCCCCCCCCGCGTTCCCCTTAGGAAGGCACCAACTATACACCAACACCGATCCTGGCCCAGGATCACCCTGGGCCAGGATCGGTGTTGGTGTACAGTTGGTGCCCTCCGACCCCTGGCTTCTCCCCCCCCTCGCACCCCACCCCCCACTCCCACCCCCCCCCCGGCCTCCCTCTGCGGCCTGACGGGGCCGGGGTGACCTGAGCGAGCTGCGGCCCCTCCTCCTCCGGCCTCCCCCCGACCCTTCCTGCTGTCGCCAGCCGCGAGACAAGAACTTGTTCTTGATCGATCAAGATGTTCGATAAAGAACAAGTTCTTGATCGAACCGACCCTTCCTGATGTTCGATCAAGAACAAGTTCTTGATCGAACATCAAGCGGAAAAAAATAAGAGGCTACGCGTTCCGCCACGTAGGGGCTCGCGGGCCAAAGTGCCCACGGTGGAGGATCGAAGGAGAGTCGTCGACAGCGGGACCAGGAGTGGAGCGGAGAGAGGCACTGCCCCGTGAGGGCTTCAAGCAACAATATCCTGGCAAAGGACTCTGCCATATGCAGCTGTGACTGCCCCGTTGTGGGCACCGCTTCGGATGGAATTAACTCCCTGTGGGGCCACGAAGCGCGTGAGGGCCTCCTGCAATGGGTGGGGGATACGCACGCGGCTGCGGCCTCTGTGATCTTCGGTGGAGTTCCCTACGGGGGCCACGAAACGCTGTCGCTGGTGTGTGAGATGCATGCGGCCGCGGCCACTGGAGCGTTCGGTGGAGCTGCCTAGAAAGCCACGCAACGCTGTGCTGGGCGGGGGAGAAGCATGGGGCCGCGGTCACTGGAGCGTTCCGTAGAGGCTCCCCAAAGGGGCCTCGAAACGCTGTAAGGTGCTCTCTCACAAAAAAAACAACAAACAAAAAAAACGCTCCGGGCGCGGAGCAGGAGCGCGTTTCTTTTTTGTCGGCGATGGCGAACGTCTTAGGGGGGGGCGAGGAGGGGATATGACGAAACGCCTCCCCCCCGCCGTGTGACGCCGGCACCACAGCCGCGCCCGCGCGCACGACGACGATGAGCGACGAGCGACGAGCGACGACGACGACGACGACGACGACGACGACGACGACGACGACGACGACGCGAGCAGCATGTAGGTGGCGATCTGCCCCACAGCGCACCACAACGCTTGCGTGCACCACAGCGCGTGTACACCACAGCGCCAGCGTACCCCGCAACAGCTGCGTGCAACGCAGCACCTGTGTACAACACGTGCTTGCGTGCACCACAACACTGGTGTACACCACAGCGAATGTGTACACCGCAGCAACCACGTGCAACACACAGCGCTTGTGTACACCACAATGCTTGCGTGCACCGCAGCGTCTGTGCACACCACGGCGCCTGTCTACACCAAACCATCCGCGCGCAACGCAGAGCTGGTGTACACCACAGCGCCTGTGTGCACAGGACAGGTAGAAGAAACATGTAGGTGAGGATCTGCTGCGGACAGCTAAACGCCACGGCAGGGAAGTGCTGATCATAGAATGCGACGTTCTTCTCTCCTCCCTCCTCCTCCATCTCCACCGCCTCCTCCTCCTCCTCCACCTCCTCCTCCTTCTCGTCCTCCGCCTCCCTCACTCGTCCCCCCTTTCGCGCGGGTCGGCGCTACAGCGCACTTGCGCATCCCTGCGTGCACCGCAGATGCTTTATTGAATCACTCCACTTGGTTTACGGACGGCCAATTGTACCCTCCTGGACGCAGGTGGGAGGAATTCGGATAATGCGGGCGGACTCGGGAGGACTCGTAGATTCCAGCGGCGCTTCTTTTCCAGAAAGGTTTTTTTCCATATCTTATATGAACCAAATGTTTTTTGTGGAATCCACAGACGCTCCATTTTGTCACCAGGATTCCCTCTAAAACTTTATATATATATATATATATATATATATATGCAACCGCGGCGCGCTGTTGCACACGGTTGCTGTGGTGTACACATGCGCAGTGGTGTACACAGGCGCTGTAGTGCGCGCAGGCATTGTGGTGTACACTGGTGCTGTGCTGTGGTGTACGCAAGCGCTTTGGTGTACACAAGCGCTTAGTGCCCGCAGTCACTGTGGCACGCACTGGCGCTGTGTTGCACGAAGTTGCTGTGGTGTACATAGGCGGCGTGGTGTACACAGGAGCGGTGGTGCTCGGAGGCACTGTGGTGTACACAAGCGCTGTGGTGCAGATCGCCACCTACATGCTGCTGTTACCCTTCCTCGGTCATTCCTAAGCATTCCCAGACGCTGCTGGCGCGAAACGTGACGTCACTGGCCCCCTCCACCCCCCCCACACATGATTGCCATCGGCCCGGAATAAAAAAACAGGGCTCCAATCGCGTCCGCGCGAACGACGATGACGAGCGATGAGCGACGAGCGACGAGCGACGAGCGACGACGACGACGACGACGACGACGACGACGACGACGACGATTGCGGACCAAACTACTATGCGGACACCTGTGCGGATTTCGGTGCGTACGGCGGCAGTGCCCGGAGCGCACTGGGGGGGGGGCGTTATGTCATAAGGGGGTGAGGGGGGGCGGGGGCCATGACGCCCGTCATGCCCCAAGCAATAAAGGAACACGCTCCAGGAACCCGAGTGCAGCCAGTCAGCCGCTTGCGGACTTGCAGCCATCGCGCTCTGCTCATTCAAACTCCAACGCACAACAGCGCGCACCAAGGCCCGCCCCGCCATCCGAGCAAGTCCTCCACAGCAAAAGATAAGCACCCTGCGACGTACCCATCCATTTCTACACATGTGGCGACGATACACAGGACCGATCAATACAAACGAACATGTTGAAGAACCCGCAGGAGCCCACGAAACTGGTGACGGTTGCGCACTTCGCAGCCACCTAGGAAGCCGCGAAGTCTCGGCTGGGTGCGTTCACAGTTCCCCTCCGCTGGGCCTCTCAGGAGCCCACGAAAGTGGCGCGTTGAACGCGTCGCAGCCCCTCAAATGAGCCGCGAGGTATTGATTGGGTGCGTTTACAACCCCGCTCCGCTGGGCCTCCCAGGAGCCCACGAAAGTTGCGACAGAGGTGCACTTCGCAGCCACCCAAGAGGCCGAAAGGTCTCGGCTGGGTGCGTTTACAATTCCACTCCGCTGAGCCTCCTAGGAGCCCGCGAAAATGGCGACAATTGCGCAATTCGCTCAGGAAGCCGGGAAGTATCGACTGGGTGCTAACTCCACTCCGCTGGGCCTCCCAAGAGCCCACGAAAAAGGCGACGAATGCGCACTTGGCAGAGCCGCAAGTTCCCTCCGCTGGGCCTCCCAGGAGCCCACGAAAGTTGCGACAGTTGCGAACGTCGCAGCCACCCCAGGGAGCCGCAAGGTCTCAGCTGGGTGCGTTTACAACTCCACTCCGCTGGTCCTCCCAGGAGCCCACGGACATGGCGATATTGGCGCACTTCGCAGCCCCCCAGGGAGCCGCGAGGACTCGGCTGGGTGTGTTTACAACTCCACTCCGCTGAGGCTCCAAGGAGCCCACGAAAGTGGCGAGGGTTGCGCACTTCGCAGCTCCCAGGGGAGCAGCGAGGTCTCAGCTGGGTGCGTTTATATCCACTCCGCTGAGCCTCTCAGGAGCCCACGAAAGTGGCGATAGCTGCACAGTTCGCAAGCCCGCAAGGGAGCCGCGAGGTCTCGGCTGGGTGCCCTTACAACTCCACTCCGCTGGGCCTCCCAGGAGCCCACGAAACTGGCGACAGCTTCACACTTCGCAGCCCCCAAGGAACCGCGAGTTTCCTCCTCCCAGGAGCACACGAGAACGGCAGAGTCAAAACGGGGCCGCAACGCAAGCTGGAACGACAGGTGTACAGTTCGAAGCCCTTCGGGGCCGCGAGGTCTCGGCTGGCTGTGCGTACAACTCCACTCTGGTGGGCCTCCCAGGAGCCCACGAAACTGGCGACAGTTACGCAGTTCGCAGCCCCCCAGGGGGCTGCGAGGTCCAGACTGGGTGTGCTTACAATTTCACTCCGCTGGGCCTCCCAGGAGCCCACGAAATGGACGATAACTGCGCACGTTGCAGCCACACTTAGAGCCTCGAGGTCTCGGCCGGGTGTTCAAAACTCCACACCAGTGGGCCTCTCAGGAGCCAACGACAATGGCGACAATTACGCAGTTCGCAGCCACCCCAAGGAGCCGCGAGGTATCGACTGAGTGTGCGTACTGGGCCTCCCAGGACCCAGCGACAGTGGCGACGGTTGTTGCGCAGTTCGCAACACCCCAGGGAGCCGCGAGGTCTCGGCTGGGTGTGTTTACAAATCCACTCGGCTGGTCCTCCCAGGACCCAACGAAAGTGGCGACAGTTGCGCAATTCGCAGCCTCTCAGGGGGCCGCGAGGTCTCGACTGGGTATGTTTACACCAAGGCAACGCTAACGGCGATGTTGGTGAACAGCGAAGTTGGGAATCCGATGTTTGTGACACCGAACTCGCGTAGGAAATCACGAACCACACGTTCCTACATTTCAAATGTGCGAATGTACCGAGCGAATACGACGCACCGAATTGTAGGAAAGCACGAACCACGATGTCCTACGATTGGTTTGGCCACGAACCTCTCCCACCTGCAATGCCGATACCTACATCGTCGTTACATGCATCGCCGTTAGCGCGCATACGGTTACTATTCCAGAACGATAAATGTGGATGTTGCAGCCTCCCAGGGTGCCGCGAGGTCTCGACTGGGTACGTTTACAATTCCACAACGCTGGACCTCCCAAGACCCAACAACAATGGCGAGGTTCCGCACTTCGCAACCACCCAGGGGGCCGCGAGGTCCTGGCTGGGTGTGTTTATGACTCCACTCCGCTGGGCCTCCTCCTCCTCCTCGTCCTCGTCCTCCTCCTCCTCCTCCTCCTGTCTCTGTCGCTGCGGATCGTCTCGTTACGGCGGCTGAGACCCTCGAGCCCCTCCACCGGTCCAGAGGCTGGGCGGGACTAATATTGTTTCTGACAAGAGTATTCTCTCCTCCTTTCCCTCCTCCTGCTTCCTCCTCCTCCTGCTCCTCCTCCTCCTCCTCCTCCTCCTCCTCCTCCTCATCATCATCATCATCATCATCATCATCATCATCATCATCATCATCACCATCACCATCTTCGCTCCCTCCCCCACTCCCCCACAATCCCACCAGCCGTTTAGGGCGTAGGTGGTCTAGGGAGTTTCCTCTGCCAACCCCCTTCTTCCCCTTCGGGGAGGGGTTTACCCCTCCCCTTACCCCTCCCCACTGACCTGGACGGGGCCGGTCGCGAGGTGTCAGAGCGTCCAAGATGGCCCAAGACAGCTCCAAGAGCGAACAGGCGAGAAAACACAAAACATTGATTTTACCTAGGTTTTGGAAGGATTTTGGCATCTTGGGGGGGCCCAAGAGGCGACTCGAGGCACTCTGGAGGGGCGGGGCTAATAAGCAACCCCCCCTTCTTTGATAGATCTCCTCCAAGATGGCCCAAAGAGCGCCCCGAAGGCTCCCAAGAGCGCCCCAAGAGCGCCTCAAGAGGGCCCCAAGAGACCCCAAGAGGCCCCCAAGAAGCCTCCAAGACGTTGCCAAGAGACCCCCAAGAGGCCCCAAGAGAGTCCAAGATGACCCAAGACGGCTCCAAGAGCGAAAAGGCGAGAAAACAAAAAACATTGATTTTACCTAGGTTTTGGAAGGATGTTGGCCTCTTGGGGGG